CCACCCAAAAAAGTTTCGAAAATCATGTGGTATTGTCAATTCATCATGATTAGGATCATGATAATAATATTTAATAATGTATTAATTGATTTAGTAAATGATTTGTTTTCTTCGATTCTTCAAAATGTAAAAAGATCGTCGCAATCTTTTAAAAACATAAATCCAATAACACAATATTCTAAAAATACACATTTTCGCTGTAACCAATTTCGGGTTTACCATAAAATCCCGGAAGACAGATTCCCGAAAGGACCTAATACCGACAAAGTTAACCGGCATTAGTTATAATGTTGGCCAATTTAGCCGGTATTATGTTCTTTCGGGAAAATGGTTATCAGGATTTCGTGGTAGAACCCAAATTCCCACTAATGATAAATGAAAAAGAAATAAAATTATAAAAATTTATCGGCAAATGCAATTATACCAGAAAATCTTATAGATGTTGTTTTGAATGCTCTTCCGGAAGACTATAACTCTGATTATTTATTTGAGCAAAAAGTTTTATAATTCTGAATCCAGAACGCAACAAAAAATTATTGAAGAAAACATGATTAAAAATAGTAACAAATAGATCGATCATAAAGCTATTGCATAAATTGGAGGAGGATTATAATCATTTTAAAAGGCAATAGAGTACGGGATAATAATACTTTCTGACCGTAATAAATATTACGTTTATCGAGTTTATTTGAAATAATAAAATGATTAATTTATTGCTGATTGTTATTATTTTTTAGGCTATAAATTTTTTGTGGTTTGTTCAAGTTAATTGACTTTTTGGTGCTCGATATATTTGTCACGTGATGATCGAAACTTTTTTGGGTGGCGATTTTACCCCGGTCAATTTAGACGAAGGTTCAATAAATAATTCGAGCGAAAGTTCAGTAAATAATTTGAGCGAAAAGTTTATTATTCTGTGTTTTGTAATTAAATAGTTTGTTGATCTGCATAATAAACCAATTTTCACTTATTTCGTCAAATGGGATGGGAGTCTCTAAACACTCCCATTTCATTTTCCAATTTCAAAATTTTGATACACAAATAAGATTTTTAAACTCTTATTTATTTCCGAAATACGTTATCTTTTTTTTAATTCCGAAACCCCTTAATAATAAATGCTCTTTATACAGTACTTACTATTAATAATTGTCGCGGCTGAAGCTGCAAACGGCTGATGCTGGAAATTAGGGTCCTTGATTTAAAAATAAAAACCCTACCAAAATCTACTTATACTCTTTTATTATTAAAACTACCACTAAACCCTAACCCAACCCTAAAAAAAACCCCTAACAAAAGGACCCAAAAATTTCATATTAAAATAATTAAAATTTCCAGCATCAGCCGCGACAATAATTAATAGTTATTGGCTGCTTCGCATCCAATAACTATATATCAATGCTTACTTCCTGATAGTTAAAATTTGATGAGGTTATTCCCAATTTCAGTTTAATAAATTACAAAACATTATAAAAAAATATCAAAAATTAATATACTTCTAATCAATTTGAAATATTCACTATAATTTTCTTATACGCCAATTCCATATCTGTAACAAAATAGCAGTTTTAAAAATTTCCATCGAATTACCTTTCTCAGCTGATTTGAAATATGTATAAATGCTTTGTGTTTATCGATTTCAACACCAATTCCTAAATAATAACAATAGCCAACTTGATATATTCCGTTATAATTATTCATGTCCCCTGATTTTTGATAATTAATAAATGCCTTGCTTTCGTCCTTTTCAATACCAATTCCATATTCGTAACAATATCCAAGTCAGTATATTCCATCTGAATCGTTCATGCCTGCCAATTTTTGACAATTAATAAAATTCAATTGATTAAAATCATCTTTTTCTAATCGCTCTTCTGCTAAGTTTTCTCTTTCCATTTTGGCTTATGAGTAAATAAAAAAAAACAATAATAGTAATGTAATATACCAATGCTGTATATTTATTATACTTACAATGGTTATACAATATAATTAATTAGTGAGCAATATATATTAAATTACCGATGCGATATCAGTAGTGATGCAGGAAAATTAATTCTACATGTACAATGCAGTAGAATTAATTTTAGTAATTCTACTACATGTGACGTAATTTCCACAACTCCACAAGTGTAGAATTGTAGAATTGATTCATTAATAATTTAAGCAGAAGTGACACGTCATAATATTGGACAATTTAGGCATTTGGACATGTGGACAATGTCCAATTAGTCCAAATAATTTAATTGGACATAAGAATAATTTATCAGTAGCTTACTGTGAAAGTGTTTGCCAAAAGCTCGAGACATTTTGCAAGCTTGATCATTATAAACCACTTATAACATTGTTATTGTATGCTACGCAGCCAATAACTTGTTTATTTTGACTGCAAATTTAATATGAGTCATTCTGGGCCCTTCTGAAAGATTTATTATATAAAGAATAAGTGGTTTATCAACTGCAAAATAACATACATTATTTTCAAATTTACAAATAATTTAAGTTATAATTAAGTAATTGAAAAATAACATAGAACATTTTAGTTTTAATACATTATTCTGGCTTTTTTGGATAGCCAGAATTTATCTAATATTACTATTTACAGTAGCATATTTAACTTATCTAATAAAACTATTGGACAATGTCCAATAATTCAATTAAATTTATTCGGATATTGTCCAATGGATTTAAATGATCAAACAAGATCATAGAAATGATTCTTTTATTGTATATGTGTTGATGTAGGAAAAAAGTGTTTAAATATAGAAATCCCAAGTCAAATAAATAATCCAATCGGATGCAAAAGAAATATACTACTTAACTTGGAAGTAAATTAATATGAATAAAGTGAAATTAAGTGATAAATTTTCATAAATTTGAATAGCTTATTTTAAATACTTAGATTGCTTTTTATATTCACCGACTAACTTGACTAATTAACGTGAGTAAAATAAATTAGTAAATATTCATGAATTAATTTTAACTACTTAGATTAATAAAAATTTTTACACTCACAATCTAGCAGGAAATAAATAGTAAATATAAATATTCATGAATTGAATAGCTTATTTCAATACTTAGATTATTAAATAATCTTTATACAGTACTCACAATCTAGAACGAAATTTTGATTGATTAAAAGTGTTAGTGAGTAATTTTATCTGATGAATTATTGACTATTGTATTTCAAAAACATTATATGCTATAAATTAATCGTTACGTATAAAAAACCGGATGTTGTAAATTTCAAATATCTATAAAAAGAAAAAAAAAGTAATACAAATGTGCCGAATATAGCAATTTATAGGGCGATTTTGCATAAAAAGTTATTAATGCAACTTTGTTCAATACGTAGATTCTTTCCACTAATCAACAACTCATGAGTAGATTGAAAAATAAAAATACCATCGTGTTGGGTCAATCTCGCGATGCCGTGGTCTCAGAAATTATGAATCTGGTTAATAATGTAAATGATGAATATAAAGATTTCGAATGGGACATTCAAAAAGACGAAAGCACTCTTTACAATAATGGCCGCTTCCTTACGAAATATAGTCCTAGGAAATCCCATGAGAATAACAGCTATAGATATCCTAATAATTTTGCTGAACGTATTTCTAAAACTGTCACAAATCCGCGTTTCTTTTCCGATACTTCCCCAAAACCTGATGATGTTAAACAAGGTAATAAGTTGTCCATCTGTTTTAATTATGACGAGATAATTCTTACGTATGTAAAAAATATTCATCAAAAGGAATTCGGGGTGATTGTTGGTTTCATACAATTCTTTCTGCAGCTGCTACTATTCCGGGCCTTATAGAATCTATAGCAGTTGCACGAAAGGAAGATTCCTATGTAAGTAGCCTGAATTCATTAACAATAAATTATAAACTTGAAATTAATTATAAATTATATAGATATATGGATTCGTATTCTTCAAGAAAGATAAATGGGTTGGCATTGTAGTCGACGACTACTTGTTTTATAAAACACAAGAACGTACACCTTTATTCAGGTAATTTAATTATATGTAATGAAACATTTATGTGTTTGTCTTTATATAATATTTTATAATATATTTGTAGTGAGTGTAATGATTCAAGAATTACATGGGTTCCACTTCTCGAAAGTGAGTCATCATTTTTTTCATTTTTTTTTTTCTCTTTTTCAAAATTTTAATAAACATCTAAAATTATTAATTTCAATAAATTTATATAGAAGCCTATGTTAAATGTCACAACAATTATGAAACTATCTATGGGAGATGCACGCGTGATGGTATTAGATTACATTTTGCAAACTTTTTAGAATGAAGTGATTCATGACTTAACTTTCTAAATTTTATTTTGTAGCACTTGTAGGTTTTGGTGGTAAAGATTATAAAGAATATAAAACATATGATATCAAAAATAATCCAGCCAAGAAAGACAAATTATGGAGCTCATTTCCTTCTGACACAAAAAAAAACAATAGTATATTTATTTGTCATGGTGAAAAAGTAGGACGCGGTTTAATTCCATGCCACGTCTACAGTATTGTTCGTGCTGTTAACTTTCATAATAAGCATTTGGTTGAAGTTCGTAATCCATGGGTACATGGAACATGGAAAGGTAAGTATCATAACTTGTAAAATTTTCGAAATTATGCATTTTGACTTAATACAGTATGATTGCTATTCCAATTACTGAAATTATAGGTTCATGGTCAGATGAAAGATACAATAAAGAATGGTCGCCATGGGTAATACAAAAAGACAATAAACATTACATAGAGGAATTAAATTATTTTCTCAGTGATCATGAATCTTTCTTTATGGAATATGATGATTTTTTAAACCAATTCGATATAATCGAGCGTTGCTATTATACACCAACTGAAATACATACTGGTAAGTTCCTTTCTCCTATTAAAATAAATTCTAATATGATTCCATGTCATTTGTCATATACGGAAAAAGTATAATAAAGTCTTTCTTTATTTACTTTTTATTTTTATTTTTATTTTATTTTTTATTTTTTGATCAAGATCTATATTTAACGAATAAGCTTGTATCATCCTGGTGGAATGGCGAATATAATATATATTATATATATTATGCTAATTTAGGACAGGGTCAATCGGACTTGTCAACTTTGAAATTGAAATTTTCAGCTCAACACCCTGGTGATTCAACCTTTTTGATAACCTCTCATGGGAATAATGGTACTGCCTACCCGAAAGATGGTATAGGTACTTACACTATCGATGAAGGCCAATTTAATTTATCATCGAATACTATTACTTTTATCAAACGTTACGTTAATTGTAACGATAATACAGCCTGGAACTACCAAGGCCAATACAAACATAACCTGTTTTTTGGAACATGGGGTGCCACCCATAATATGTATTATGGAGATTTTATTATTAAACGGGCTGTTAAGGTTGAGAGTTTGTCACTTACAGGATATTGGTGTGGATGTTATTTAGATAATAGGAGTATTGATTACTATTTAATGGACTTGAATTTCAATGAAAACGTTATCATCGGGTCTGGCAAAGATAATGTTGGTGAATTTAGGATAAATGGAGAAATATTACCTAATGGTTCAGTCGGTTTTATTAAAGCATATACTTCTCACTCATGGAACTATTTTGGGAAGATGTATGGAAGTGAAATATATGGAAATTGGGGTACTATTAGGACACCTAATAGTGGAACTTTTCTGATGTGGAAATACGAGTAATTCAAAGTGCACCAATTTTCTTGATATGTATGTCATCCATCAGCTATATACATTCGTATTTCATGTTTATTATTATAAAAGCTAATATATTTTTATCTGAACTACCATACAGTACTACTTAATATCCGGTTTATTTCACATGCTTGTTAAGCGTATTATTCCGCCCATCCACGATCCACGCTACCAAATAAATTACTTCAAAATTTTTATTTTATTTTAATATTTATGAAGTTTTGATAAACCAGTGCAAAATAAAGATAGTTTGGGCAAAAGGCTTATTGAACGGAATGATAAATGATAAACCCAATGAACATTTTTTATTATTTAAAATTTTTCTTTTTTGCCGTAATGAACTAGTGATGGGACTGCGGATGCTGTGATCTATTAAAAAATTCTGATTCATCATAAATTGTTGAATGCGAATCACTTATTTTTAACATCGTTAGTCCCATCACTATAATAAATTAAGTGTGCAGTACGTACCTTATTTATCTTAATGACAAGTCAATTGATCGGTAAAATATTTTCTGCCAATTAAAATGTAATTCCCGACAAATATTGATTAGGGCACTTGAAATTCAAACCATTTTATATGTAAATTCGAGATCTTACCGTCCGTTCCTGATTTAGCTACCTTATATATAGATGCTAATGTGTATCTCTGACAGTGCTTAGATTCTTATCTTTACCATAATACCTTTCATTATAGTAAATAAGTTAATATTAAAATGATAAATATTTATATAATTTTAAAATCATTGTTTATTCTCTTGTTGGTAGCGCAAAATTATATCATTTGCTGATATTATCATTATTACTGTCGTTGATGTGCTTTTTTACCGTTGTAAGTCCATAAGAGTTCAAGAACGAAGGATTATCGTAACCAATTTCACAGTAATTAATCAATTCCTGATTATGTTTTTATTTTACTTTAAGTGCAATATACTGCCACGCAACATTAATTCTGTCGATCCAATGTGCTGAATTTACAGTTGTGAATTCATCATTATCAATCCAAGATAATTTAAATCTCTTATCGTCCAATATTCTCTTAAGTTCAGGATTGATATGATCTGGTGATTTATTAATTTTCAAAAGACTTCTATATTTTGTTTGAACCAACTTTGAATATCTCTCTTTGTACAAATACCGTTTCGATAAAATCAGACCATATTATACATTGCACCTTTAACATCCATGTACTGTACACGGATGTTAAAGATGCAATGTATAATATAAAAAATCTGCCAACTTAGCAGATTTTTTATAGTATCCAAATGCTTTATTATAATCTTGAACAACCCCATCCTCTTTCATAACGAACATCAGCTTTACATGTTCTAATAGCATTACCCAAATCAATAATTCTCTTACAATATTCAAATGATTTCTGGCAATTTCTTTTCATTTAATTCCATAAGAATAACAACCACTAACATCATTCATTGCAGACGGATTTCCTAACTCAGCTGCTCTTACATAATATTCAAAAGCCTTCTCTTCGTCTTTCTCAAAACCAATACCATGTTGATAATTGTAGCTAAAGTTCACGAAGTTGATTAGAGTCCATTTTTTTAAGAAAAAAATTCACTCCTGGAATGCAGAGGAGGACATTTGATGTTTAATGTGGTACACAAGATACGTCAATAAATTCGTTTTTGATTAGTTTACTCATATTATCACCAACTTTAGCTACAGCATACCTAAGTTCGCGATCCAACCCATTTTCATTAAGTATGTCTGCTGATTATCAATATCACATGATTATATTATTAGCCGGCCTGCACTATGCAAGCGGTAACTACCGGCCAGCGCTAAGCCGCACCAACTAAACTACTTGCGGGATCCCGGCGCGATGCATATCCATAAACCACTAAGGTGTCTAATGCATATTTAATTACAAACATAGTGCAGATGTATAGTGAAAATCATTAATCAATTTTTTTATCATTATCGGTGGCGTAGTGGTAGCGTAAGTAGTAAAAACATATAAAATTTAGATTGCAATAACTTTTGAACAAGCGAACACACACAAATAAAATTATATTTGTCGGGTTCATTTTAGTGTGCTTTTTAAAGTAACAACGCCTTTTTTAAAATTTATTTTTATTGTTTGAAGCGTAGCGGAGGACCCAAATTTTCATGCAAATGATCGTTTTTGATGAGTTTTTAACAAAAATGTCAAAAACGTAATTTTTGTCGATCACTATTGCACAATACAATACAAGTAGACAAAAAATTTTAAAGTTACGTTTTTGATTTTTTTATTAAAAAAAATCAAGTCTCCGCTATGCTTCAAACAACAAAAAAAAATTGCATTGTTACTTTAAAGAGTACACTAAAATGAAACCGACAAATATAATTTTATTTGTGTGTTCGCTTGTTCAAGAGCTATTGCAATCTAAATTTTATATGTTTTTATTCACCACTACGCCACTGCTAATTATAAAAAAGTGATTAATGATTTTCACTATATAACCTGCACTATGTTTGTAATTAGATATGCATTAGACACCCCAATAAACCACAACTAACACTAATGTAGACTCCGAATTATTCTATTTATTAAGGCATGCGTGACATGTGATACGTTAATAAAAAGCTTAGTTACGTTTCACCAATTTTACGTTATTTATCGATATCGGAAGCGAAATCCGTTTTCTTTATACTGTACAAACACTTTAATTCAGAAACTTTCACATATAGTTTTGTTAACAATATCCAGTATTAAATAGTTAAGATTATTACTTATTCGTAGAAACATTGCAATCAAAGAACTTTTAATAGCTTCTTCTCGCTCAATATCATTTCTTCCATATAAAGAAAATGCATTATGAGGACCACTTTATAAAAACACTACCCTAACTTATTTGGATATTGGTGATAATCAGATTGGTTATGGAGGAAAAGTATTAGCAGAGGCTCTTTGTAAAAATATTACTTTAACTACTTTAATTGTTCGAAACAATAATATTGGCTCTGAAGGAGGAAAAGCATTCGCAAAGGCACTCTGTAAAAACACTACCCTAACTTATTTAGATATTGGTGATAATGATCTTAATTCTGGAGTAGGAAAAGAGTTAGCAAATGCACTTTATAAAAACACCACCTTAACTTATTTAGATATTGGTTATAATAATATTGGTTTTGAAGGAGGAAAAGCATTTGCAAAGGCTCTTTACGTTAACTCCACTTTAACCTCCCTAAATCTTTCTTATAATAAACTTAGTTTTGAAGTCGGACAGGACTTAGCAAAGGCTCTTTATAAAAATACTACTTTAAAATCTCTAAGTCTTTATGGCAATCAATTTAGATCCAAAACATTAAAAAATATTTTATAAATATTAATAAAGCCAAATATTTTTCAAGTACACACTTGAAAATTTTGTTAATAATATTAAAAAAAATGGTATCTTAATATAGTATCTCATTCGCATTATATATATTTAGAATATGTGGAACTGTAACTTATTTTAACTTATTAAACTAATACTGTAGTTTTGTGTATAAATTACTGGAGAAGATAGTTGGTACCAGTGTTTGAAATTTGTGTTCTCAGAGTTCTCATGAGAACACAATTATAAATTTGTGCACAGTATAAATTTTTTA